CATCATTTCACATATGCGATGCAATGGGATTCCTTCACTGCACACAGATTTGAAAAGTACAAAATCCAGTCATCAAGTCATTAGCCTGGTTGCTGATTATTCAATTTATATGTTCTTTGCAGTTGGAGTCTAGAGCTCTGCATCACTGTTACTTGGAAATAATGGATATCAGATTCTGTTCTGACTGCCGTCAGAAGTACTTGTACCAAAGTGAGAACTGTGGCATTACTAGAGAAACTAAAGCGTCTGGAAATGCATGTAGAAGCCCTGTAGGGGGCAGCAACAACCCAGCTTGAAGAGGTTACACACATTAGTGCTGCAAAACAGTTTGAAACGAGTCTGAACATTTATTTACTCTGTTTTGTAAGCGCAACCTAAGAAATGTTTTGGGTATTGTAGATTTTGGTTGCAGAAAACGTTTGACTCCAGTAAAGCTTTTTCCATTAAAAAAAAAAAAAAAAAAAAAAAAAAAAAAAAAAACAGATCACAGTCTGCTGTAACGCCGCCTCCTGTCAGCTCCCCTGCAGCTGCAGATGCCGGGGCTTCTCTCTCTCTCTCTCTCTCTCTCTCAGGAGTACACCCTCATAACTTTCATTCATTCTGACTGTAAACGATGACCTAGCAGGGGGAATAATCTTAATCTGGATGGCTGATGGCGTTTGTTTCACACAATTTATTTTCATCAATATAATTAGGATTTTTCTTTTTTTTCATTCTTAGTATAGTTTTTTTCTACTTCGATCTGAGTTTCATGCTGTGGCTTCTTTGTACACCTGCATCTGCATAGCTCTCTTTGGAGTTCTGGGACGCTCACAGCATGTATAGGTTATGCGTTTTTGTCGCGGTGTGCTGCGCTTTTTCCTCTCAGAGCTCTGCTGCGCCTAAGTGCAGAAGTACAGTTCCAAAAGACTCTGATCCGTCTCTGCTTAAGAGCAGTGCAGAGGACGAGCTGCAAGAAGAAATGGAAGGTCAAGAGGACATAATATCTAAGGTAGGTGCATTATTATTTTGTTTTGTTTTGTTTTTTTCTCAATCATCCATACAAAATTTTAAATTGATCGCGGTGGGAAAAAAAAAATGTATCCATCCTCTTCTCTTTATAGCTGCTGGGTGATTATGACAAAGTGAAAGCCCTCTCGGAAGGCGCTGACTGTCGGTGTAAATGTGTTGTCAGACCCCTGAGCAGGAGCGCCTGTCGGCGGATCGAAGAGGGAAGCGCCACCGTTCAGGACTTCTACACCGTGGAGACAATCACATCTGGACCGGAGTGCAAGTGCGCCTGCATCGCGCCTCCGTCGGCGGTCAACCCCTGCGATGCAGAGTTCAGGCTGAAAAAACTCAGGGAAGCCGGAAAAGAAAATGTCAAGGTTCAGGATCTCACTCGAGCGCACCTTGTCCAAGCACAGCGCCCCCCCCCCCCCCCAAATGCTCTCATTTTGTCTGCTTAGCTACAAGCTGCAATGATTTGTATTTGTATTTTATGTGACAGGGGGGAAAAAGTCTAAAAAGTGTGGCGTGCCTTTGTATTCAGAGCCACCGAGTCAATATTTTGTTGATCCACATTTATCCAACCATCTAAGACTGAAAATGTTGCCCATTCTTCCTGTCAGAATACCTCGAGCTTTGGACATCACTTTTCAGGCCTCACCACCGCTTCTCAATTAAATGTAGAAATGGACTTTGACTGGGCCATTCAGACACCTACCTATTCTTTCATAATCAAACTCATTCCATTGTCATTCTGGCTTAGGATCATCCTGCTGGAAGGTGAACCTCAAGACTTCAAGTCTCTTTGCAACCCCCTTCCAGGTTTTCTTCCGTTATTAAACTTGCTTTCTTTGTCTATTGGTTGCACTGGATTTAGTTACAGGTAAAGGAGGTGAAGACAAATGCACGCCACACTTTTCAGAGATTCGTCTGCAAAAAGTGTGAAAACCAATCGTGATTTCTCTCCTCTTCACAATTATTCTTTTTTTGTTTTGTTTTCCTTCATCCCATAAAATCCCTATAATAATGTGAGCTCAAAGAGTGCCATTACTGTTGAGAGGCACTGCAAAACACCTTGCTGCAAACCTTTATGCTACCTATTCATTTCCAGAGAGTCCTAGACCTCAAAGAATGCATAACAAGACTTCATGTGACCCAAGAGTGGATAGATGCTGTTTTATGAATGCTTACACTGTTTTGATGGAGTTCCCTTGATCATTGCAGCTGTCCACCATCCTTGAGCTGCTGGAGGGTTCCTTCTACGGGATGGATCTACTGAAGCTGCACTCTCTGACAAACAAGCTCCTGCAACGAGTGGAACACATCGAGAAGGTGCAGGTAAAGCGGTGCCGAAATAAAATGCAAGTGGAAATGAACAAAACACCAACTCAAGGCAGCTTTTGCGAATTTTAGATACTTAATAATTCACGCTATGATAGAGGTGGCCTTCATTTTTGCCATGTAGAAATTGACCAACTAATATGTTGCTACTTTCATCAAAGCAAAAGTAAAAACCTCTAACTCAGTTTTTTTTTCTATTTAATTCAGCTCAAAGATGAAAATGCCAATTAAAATAACACAAAATAGCATGCATTGGATGTTTCTCTTCTGACCTGGTCCAGGTTAGAAAGAATAAAGCGAAATCTATACGACAGCCTCTTTTGAGCATTCACTACAGTGATGACAAGTTTTTCCAGCTAAAATAGAGGAGGAGCAGCTGAGACTGTGCTCAAGTCATCATACTAAATATACAGTTGATCATAAATCATACCCGCCCTAACAGGTGCTGCAAAAACAAAAGCAGGGTTTGCACGGCTAGTCTGAAGAAAGGAATCCAGCTGCTAAAGCTGTGCTGCTACACACTGGATCAGTTTTAAGTCTTATAAACATCAGAAATGAAACGCTATTCAGGGACTTCTCAGTGACTGTATGGAAGGGCATAGTTACAATCAACCATCACATGTCTAATTAAAAATAGTTGTGCAGTGGATGAAATGCCTGCAATAAAGAGTTAAAACATTTTCTGCTTTGTGTCGCTATTTTTGCACTTTTGATTTAGCAGGTGATTTTTTAAAATCGTAATTTCTCTGTTTTCTTTATTTGAGAATGAATGCAATCATGAGGTCTTACAGATGTGTTTGTTTTCCTTCTTTTTTCAGACACACTTATCATTTATCAAACTAATTCTAATATCAAACTAAGATAAGCCAAGTAAATGCAAAGAACAGTTTTTACAGATTGATTTCATTTATTTAAATAAATGAAATCAAACCAACTGAGCCCATATTGGCATCCTATTTTTTTTTTTTTATCATGGATTAACTTATTAATCACATTTTCTTTTTACAAGAATGAATAAATCACTTAAATCAAATTTGTCAGATAACAAGAGATAAGCTAAAATATCTCAAAAGACAACACGTTATGCCCCAGTTTGAAGAAATTCAAAAACAGGTGACGAAGAAAGCTCCAGGTTGCCATCCATTTTGAAAAAGTTTCAAATTCATTTCTAAGGGTTTGGGTTTTCAGTGAACCACAGTGACTCAATATCTGTAAACAGAGAAAACCTGGGACAATGGTCAATGATAGGTTGGTCAATCAAAATTACTCCTAAAGTAACAAGGCTTAGCTTTTATGTTAAGCCCTTAACAGCAAAGCTGTTAAGATAAAAAACACAAAAGACCCATCCTATATTTGTCAAAGAATATCTTGGTGATGTTTCAAGACTGATTGGGGTTTGGATTCATATTAGTAGTTTAAGTAGAGAACTTTTGATGCTCAGGGTGGATATAAAAAGTAATCTTACCTTCTGGACTATAGGTACAAAAATGCACAGTGAAGCACCCGGCAAAGATGCAAGTCAGAAAGCAGTTTGATCCAACTTCTCTTCAACTTTGATCAATTAACATCTTGTTCTTAAACCTAAGTTACATGCTCTAAAACCTACATATACGTTCTGGTTCTTATCTTCCAGGCAGTGTCTCTGAACCGCACTGTTGGCAAAGTGCAGCCTCAGGAGAGTCCTCTTTTGAAGATGAATGTAACTGAAAGGCCACCTACTCCTCTTCCTCATCCTCATCAGGACAGGAGGAGAGCCGGCGATGTCGGTGAGGCAGCAACTTATCGGTACCCACAGGTGAGAGGCAAAGTTTGGCACCATTGATCAGGATTAACATAGTAACTGTGGTGTCTTTGTAATGACCAAGCTACTTGTAGTTTATTTGCATATAATTAGAGTAAAAGGACAATTTAAATTTTTACAAAGAACTAAGGAAAAGTATTCTTATGAAACTTGCTCTTATTTTTAGGCAACATTTTATTCGCTTACTTAATCAAGTCGAATGTTTCAATTATAAAATGGTGACTTAAATGTGCAAGAAACAGCTAAAACTACTCATGAAATTTACAAACAGATGTTTATCAGTTGTTTGAAAGCTTTTAACGTAGTAAAGCTGCAGCATATGGTGGTTCAACTGTAACAGCTGAAATTGCACATACAAACCAAACTGAAGCACTGCAGCATTTTAAAACCCTTTGCACTATCCATTCAAAAAAAAAAACTGCATCTGTTTACTTTGTAGCTTTGGATGGCGCATAAAAAAACAAAAGAACTTCAAATGTAACAAGCTTTCAAACCCATGAGACAATTAAATTACTTGTTAAGATCAATGATTTCTTCATAAAATCCCTGTTAAGGAAAACAAACGTGTAAAACACTCACTGAGGTCAATTAAATATTTAATGAGATGTGTGAAGAAAAGCAGATCCCTGATCAGCAGCTTTCTCTGATGGAGCTGATCCCTTCCAGCTTTTAGCTTTCATGTAAAGTAAGGAGTCCAACCATCTGCACATCCTGGGCTCCACATGTTTTTAGATTATATGGATTGATGAGAAATGAAATGGAAATTAGACATCATGTTCCAAATAACTGTATTAAAAAAAAAAAAAACTACAATAAAGCGAACAACTACATTCCTGTAAAATAAATTTAAAGCAGACTTTAGCTGCAGCACAGACCTCCTTATTGATTATGACTCATGTTTATGAGTCACATTACCTCTAAAAACCATTCGTCATTGGCACAGTCCACCAGCAAATATATGTATTAGCATCATATTTTTCTATTATCAACAGGAAAAACCTGAAGGGAAGTTTACTGGGGAACATCCACCCAGCCTGCAGCCGGACGGCTCTGGTCAGACCACTGAGGTGAAATCCCTCAACGCCATGGAGGACTCCCAGGCATCGAAGTCTGGATCAAATGGAATGATCATCAGGGGGATGACGTTTTATAAATCTGAGCCTGACCCTATGGAGCCAGACCCCATGGTGGCGGATGACGGAGAGCCTGGGGAGAACTGTGCGTTTTAATTTTAAATATCAGTTACCTTTAACTGGATACATTTTGATTAAATCACTTGCAAAAGTTTGCACGTTGATGGGTTACTTAGGATTAAAAAGAGGGCAAAGAAGAACATGCAGTACCTTAATAAAATCTTCATACCCTATAAACTCGTCATGTGTTAAAGGAGGATTTTATGTGACACAGCAACAAAAAGTATTGAATAATTGTGAAGTTGGATGAGTTACTATTTTGGATAACCTCATTTTTATTTTTACATTTTTTGTAGGTTTTGAGGCACTGGTGAATTTTACTTGTTAGTAGTTTCATCACAAGTTCTCAATTTGATTTTGATTACAAGTCTTTTGCAGCGTATAATAGGTTTCCTTCGAGGACATTTAGTACCATGTAAACAGCAACAGCAGGCAAGGCAAAAAAACCTTCCCTCAGCATGATGCTGCCACCATCATGTTTCACCTTGACAACAGTGTTTTTTTTGGGGGGGTGATGTGCAGTTTAGTTTTCACTGCACACATTAACCAATAAGGTCAGTTTGGTTTGACGTTATCACAGCATCTTCTGCCATGTTTCTCAATAGCTAATATGGCTTGGGTCAAACTGCTGATGAGACTCTATATGATTTGTCTTCAACAACAGATTTAATTTTAATGGTGTTTTTTTTTTTTGGGGGGGGGAGGGGAGATTCACAGTTAATGGTGATTCTCCCACTTGAGCTGTGGCTCTGTGCACCTCCTCCATGGTTACTATGGGCTTTTTGACTCCTTCTTTGATTTATGGTCTTCTTGTGGCTTTGCTGTTTTACCATACTTTTTCCATTCTGAGATGCTGAAGGTCTGTGAGATGCTCTTGGCTTGGGATGCTGTTTTAAATTGTAACCCTGCTTTTAAACTTGTTTCTGTGACCAACTTTATCTCAGACCTTTTTTGGTTAAATGTTCTAACCTCTGAGGCCTTCACAGAACACCTATATCTCGTATTGTATTTATGCTAGCCAATATAGCCAGATATAGCTACTTTATTAGCTCATTAGCAGAGCTTTGTAGAGCTTCCCTGCATGCTAGTGAAGCGGTTTCACATTTTAATTCAGTTTCTAATAGAAGGGACACATCTAGAAGTTGAGGGACTTTTTAAGACCACTGCTTTAGAGAGTTTATGTTGCACAATTGAGACAAATAATTTTGATGAATGTGCTTTCTTTAATGGAAAATTTTCCTGTCTTTAGTATTTGAATATCATGAGTTCAGCGGAGAAGGCCCGGTCAACTTCTTCGTCGAAGAGAATCTCCTTCTTCATCGAGAGCCTCGGCCCAGGACCCGAACTTGGCTGAGGTCATTCCGGCCGAAGACAACGGATCCTGCGCACGATGCCAAGAAAATGAGCCCACCTGTAAAACTAAAGGAAACGAAGCCCATCTCAGAGACTCATAATGAGATTATCAGTGACAGAGGGAGCAAGTCCTTGGATGTGTCAGGAGAGGCATCCACAGTGGGAAGCGTTACAGCGGGAGCAACCGGTGCAACACAACCTTTACAGATCAAGACCACAGAATCTCAAACGGATCGGAGCGTCACACCTTGGACAATTCCTGGTACGGTAGCCACAGGAGCTCCTTCAACTATCATTCCTGCAGAAACAACCAATCAAAATACAGTGATCACAACCCAACCCTTTGTCAGGGAAGACATTAAGGACATTGGGCAACCTTCAACCGAAGGATATTATCCCATCACGGAGATGGAAACCACCAGCTTTGAGTTCAAAGATCAAACAAAGACGACTTCCGATCTGAACGCTACAGCAGAGACTCAAACAACTGCCCCTCTACAAGCCTCATCTATTCCCCCTCCATCTTCACCTCCTACTCATCCTGCATTATATCCCACCTCAACCCAGACTGATGCTTCAACCCTGCATGTGAAAACTCCTCCCCCTCAGACCTCAGAGTCCTTTCCACCTGGTGACAACGCTCCGCCCACCACCACAGCTGCACCCACCTTCCCCAAAGTCACCACTACTCCCAAACAGGCCGTCCCGATCAAAAGGAAATACAAATTTAACTGGGAAGAAGAAGACGTGATGGCGGATGACCTCGAGGCACATGAACCAGTGAAAAGCCAGAAGGAGTCATCTTCAAGCAAAGCTGGTAAACGATAATGGTCTTGTACTTTTACTCACCTGTAATGTGAAAACACCTGAACGGTAAAAACACCAGTGTTTACTAGGAGTTAGCCAGCAAAACAAAATGTGCTGTGAATTTCTATTTATCCACGTTAAAACCATTAACTCAGCCTAATGTTTCTCATTTGGAGAAAAACAAATGGAAATTTCTTTCAGAAAATTCCCAAACTGGCTAAGCTCTGTTTGCTTGTGGGAACCTTTGTCTAATTCATGCTGTTAAAACCAAAAACCCCCTAATTAATTTCAGACTCCTTGGCATGGTCTAGTTTGTGTATTAACTGGCCCTAAAATCCTCATGTTTACCCTCTCTCTGGGTGTTTTTCACAGGGGAGTGTAAAGACACTTTGGCAAGTATCGCTGAGCCAGTTACTCACAACAACTATGGCAAACCCGAGGGAGCTTGGATGAAGGACCCCAAGTCCAATGAAGACAAAATCTATGTGACAAACTTCCATTATGGGAATAATCTCCTGGAGTTCCACAATCTGGAGGTTTTCAAACAAGGTAAGAGCCACCGGTTTGGAAATAACGGTAGTCTCTTGTTTTCCTTCAATGGGTGTCACTCAGTGGCTATAAAAAGTCAGTACACTCCAGTTAAAATGCTATGTTTTTGTGGTGAAGAAAAAGAGACCACAATCAAAAGGTAGCAATTGCCTTTGCTACCTTTAATTTGTCTGATAGCCCTTTACAACTTGATTGAAAAACAAAAATAAAATAGCACGATTGCGTAAGTGCGCACATCCGTTTATAATTGACAACATGGCTGTATTCAAAAATAATCCCCACTTTAAAACTCACACTAACTAATGTTCCACCTCCCAATCCGTGTCTCCGGTTAACCCGGAAAAAAAAATAAAATTACACACCATGCCCTAATCTAACAATAGAACAGATGAGCAACAAAATCTTTGGGGCGCCACCATACCATAGTGAGAACTATCATCCACAAAAACACTGAACAGTTGTGCACCTTCACAGGAATGACTGGCCTTCCAGAATTACTCCAAGAACCAATTAAAGACTCATAAAGGGGCTCGCAAAAAATCCAGAACAACATCCAAAGCACTGTAGGCACAACTTAGCTTATTTAATTGTCACAATTTAGAACTAAGAAGAGCAGGGAAAAAATTATTTCAAGAGGAGAGATTAGATTATAAAAAAAAAAAAAACATTTTTACACCAAGAAGAAGACAAAAACCTGTCTCGCATTTGTCAAAAATCATCTTGAGGATTCTTAAGACTTTTGGGAAAGTACTATGTGAATTGAGGACAGAAATTTTGAACTTTGTTGTAGATGTTTATTCTGTTAAAGCTGATATATATATATATATATATAAAGATAATCTCCTACATTTAAACATAGTGGTGGTAGTGTGATGGTCCTGTGCTGCTTTAGAACCAAGAAAATGCTGAATCCGAATGTCCAGATTTCCCTGTGTGAACTTAAACTCAAGTGCATTTGGATTATGCTGCTGGCCAAAGACCCTGGGCACCCCAGCAAGCCCCCCAAAAATGACTAGAGCTTTGGAGTGACCCTGTCAAAGTGCAGACTTTGAATTGCAGTGTTGTGACCTTAAACTGGCCATTGGATCTCGAAAACAATCCATTGTCGCTGAAATAAAAACAATTATCTCAAGGACTGTGACTCAAATGTTCTCCACAGAGACTTGAAAAGGTTATTTCCAGTTCTTGCAACACTTAAATGCAGTTGTCAAAGAACTGGACGTCCTTCCAAGGCAATTTGACAACAGGTCCAGAGCAGCATTAAATGATCTATGCTAATTTTTAGCAAGAACTGACAGAGTAGTACAAAAAGCTCCCCTATTCTTCACATTGTGGTCACTGACATGTTGATACAGAATCCTTTTCTCTTGAAGAAAAACACATTAACCCAATTGAATTTAGCAACAGTCGGAAAATGAGCCCCAATAAGTCCAAGTTTAACTGATTTGGTTTTAATTCCCAAAGGCGGGTTTGGTGCAATATCAACACTGCGCATTACCAAAACAACACTGTTGCTACACTTTTAAGTGAGTTTAGGAGGGCACAGAGTGTGACACAGCTTGCAAGTTAAATGTGAAGCCAACAACTAAAAGAAGTCCACATCTCAGTTATTTATTTCCCACTGGCCCTGGGCTTTACAAACACAAGGGAAGTGAAAACTTCAGTGCACTCCTTCCAGCTTGAAAACAAAATCACTCTGATCTGAACAAAAATAAAAACTACATTTCCTATGCTCCCTAGCTGGCCACAAAATGGGGAAGAAATTAGTTAAAAGAAAATGGTGGAGAACTCGTACTAAACTGTCCATCTAAACAATATTTCTAGCATACAAAAGTTCAAATGCCAATAAGACCTAAGCAGAATTGCCACAACACTGAGTACTCAGTTCAGAGTCCACCACGTCACAGAAATGCCCAGGGGGAAACAACACTGAAGCTTTTATGGAGTCCACTGATGAGGAGGAAGTGCTTCCAGATGTGACAGTGGCCTGCAAACAAACAAAAGAGCAAAGGCAGTCCTCCGCTGTGAGGACCCCTAGAAGTCAGTGGACGTAACAAACACCATGCAAACATAAGGGAAGCATGGTGGTGGCAGCATCATGCTTCATGACTGGTTTTCTTCAGCTGGAACTGGTGGAGATAATTATCGACACTTTCGAAGAGTAATCAGTGCCAGAGCAAAACCCTCATAATGTAAATCTGATTGAAATTATTTTCTCTCTTACAACATCGACTTATAAAGTTTATCGGCAACATTAAAGCAGGATAAAGTTCTGAAATTCTTGGTTTCATTATTTCACACCATAAAACACTGATATTCTAACATGAGTGGGTTGACTTTTTATGTCCACTGTCTTTTTCAATAAAACCAATATCCCAGGCCGTTTCACCAACTCCTACAAGCTCCCCTATAACTGGATCGGCACAGGCCATGTGGTCTACGGCGGGGCCTTCTACTACAACCGCGCCTTCTCCCGGGACATCATCAAGTACGACCTGCGACTTCGCTACGTGGCTGCCTGGACTATGCTACACGATGCCGTGTTTGAGGAGTCTTCGTCGCCATGGGAATGGCGCAGCCACTCGTACATCGACTTTGCCGTGGACGAGAGCGGCCTGTGGATCATCTACCCGGCACTGGATGACGAGGGCTTCTTACAGGAAGTGGTCATCCTGAGTCGGCTGAACCCCACGGACCTCAGCATGCAGAGCGAGACCACCTGGAGGACCGGGCTCAGGAGGAACAATTTTGGGAATTGCTTTGTCGTGTGTGGCGTCTTGTATGCTGTGGACAGCTACAACAAAAGGGACGCCAACCTGGAGTATGCCTTCGATACGCACACAAACACTCAGATGACTCCCAGAATGCCCTTCATCAACAACTACACGTACACCACACAGATCGACTATAACCCGAAGGAAGGCGTTTTGTACGCATGGGACAATAGGCACCAGGTCACATACAACATAAAGTTTGCTTATGTAGATCCTTAACAGTCCTTTGATTTGTCATTTCTGAATGGACTGTAGATCAGTCCACACTGGCTTCACAACTGAGCCAAATGTACATATATACTTAGTGTTTACATTGTTCATATTAAAGTTTACATTTTATAAAAATAAAATAAGTTCGCCTTCATTCATTGTATCACGATTCGTTGCATTCTGCCCTTTGTTAAAAGATGGATACCTCTTGCACGTTTTCCACGGCTCTTCCTGTGGAAACCCCTGTGAAACGCGACACAAACATGGCTGTCACTTTTTACATTTTTACTAATAGAGGTCTGAACGGTGTATTCAACCTCCATGAGTCATTGTTTTGCAGAACCACCTTTAGCTGCAGTAACAGCTGAAAATCTTTTGGCATATGGCTTTACACATTTGTGCCTAACATTAGATGGAAAGCATCTAAGACTGCTGAAGGAAAAAAAAATCTCTGCCCCCTGCTGCCGCCAGTGTGCTTTATTGAAGGGGCAGTACATTCAGCTTATGACTTTCTTCCTATCAATCTTACATAGAGCGTAGATTGATCAAGTTCATAACTAACACAGCTTATTGGTTTCCTATGATATTATTATATTTTATTTAGAGGCATCAGATACAAGGGGAGTGAACACAAATACCACAGCCATTATTATTTTCAGCCATTTTTTTTGTTGTTCTGTCAAAGAAAGTACAATAAACCCTGTGTTGCTACATGGCAATAGGCTAGAAACCCAAGAAGTATAATTTCGTAAGGTAATGTTTTTTACAACAATCTAGAAAAAAGTGGCTTAACAAAAAGTTTTAGAAGATTTCTCTTTGAAACAGAAAAACAACAAAAAAAATATTTTTTTCAGTTTTCTGAAACAAGAGCAAATTGTTTTTCTCTTTGCATCAAAAATGAATGCCAGAAGTCGGAGAAAACATCCTCTCTCTGTAATAAATCCCCCATAATTGCCAAAGAAGAATGAGCCTTTGTTCTGCTGCAGTCAGAGAATGTAAAGGCAGCTTAAATTGCAGCTTTGAAATGTTACTTACCTGGAGCACAGAATAAAGGAATAATGGCAGGAAGTAGTTAAAGAATGCAGAAATTAATGCTTAAACCGGTAATTTAGAGCAAAGTCTCTGGATGGAAACAGTCATTCTGGGAGAAGCGAACAGGAATGTACTTAAATAACATTTTAAAGTAAAGCAGTGAAGGGATTTTTGCAAACAAGCCAAGACATATACACAAGTATATTTTAAAGAAAATCCAGTGTTTATTTTATCTGAAACGCATAAAAAGACAAAACCTCAGAAATTTATAATTTCACATTTTTGGAGGGTGAACCAAAAATGTTTAAGAGATTGTATCCTAGAAATAACATAAAACGCAACACAAAGAGGCATGGCAGGAAAACTTGTTATGCTCTTTTATGAGCAATTTTTTTGAATCAAAAGCAACCATCAGTTGCTAATAGAAACACACTTTTTGATAGGTATATCACCATACAAAACCTGGTCCTGGATAATAGAAAACAAAGGGCAATTTACATTTCATTTCATCACTTCATGTCAAAGAAACAGAAGGTATCATGAGGAGAAGAATCACCTGCCCAGAAAGGTAAGGCATTTAAAGCCAAAACTGAATGTTGTTCTGAATGTACTGTGCATCAATGCCATGTAGGTGGATACAACTATACAGAAAAAAAAAAAAAAAAATCAGCAGGTTTAATTTTAATACAAGTTAAAAACAAGATGAAGACTGAGGAAGTCTTCAAATATTTTGTCAAAGTGTTCTTTTCCCCTTTTTCAATTAGGTTTTAAAATAAACTGACAAAGAAAAATACAATTTTGTGTAGTTTCTCTAGATCTCCGTTAATCTTAAATAAAATAAATCATTTAGGATAAATGAGTTTGAAAAAAAAACAAACACACAGGAGAGAGAGAAAAAAAAGAATGACAAAATAATTTGACACAAACAAAACTGAGCAGGACGCATGGAACCAAGAATGTGTACTGTTACATAATATTTAGACATAAATATGTACAGTACTGGTATGACCATGAGAGTGCAAAGACAAAAAAAAAGAATTACAATTATTCATGGTTGCAAACATCCACCCATATTTCAATTAAAGCCAGGTAGCTTAAAATGCAAAAAAATAAAAATAAAAATAAAATAATAATCCAACTTCCTGAGTTGTTTACTGAAAGTTTCTCTGCTGTGAATGCAATAGTTATATCTTAACATTTTACAAATAAAAAAATATTAAAATTTAACAGCACATTCTGTTAGATTAAAAACTGAACCTGTTGTGCCTCGAAACACCAACATCATATAGTTTTTTTATTTTTATTTTTTATGTCTTTAAATATCACCGTGTCAAAAACAACAGAGAAAAAAAATGTTACAGAGCTTTTAGGAGTTGAAATACTTGTGTGACGATGATGGGGTGACTCAGAGTTCAACGCCGGCTCCCTGCAGACTAACAATTACCCTGATCTGGATGTGTGGGGCTGAAGGGGGGAGTCGGCGTTGCCACCCAAGGAGGCAGCCTCTGCTCTCAGCTTTTGATCTATTCTAACATGGTGCAATTCAGGGAAAAAAACAAAAAAAAACACCTTCATTTAAAAAAAATCACAAATATAAAATCTGTGGGACCACACAGAGTTTATCCTCCTCTATTGAAAATAATCGTAAAGTGAGGTGCTGTCTTGGGTTTTCCCCCAATCGTTGAGTTACGAAGACGACGTTACGATGATCCCATCAGCACGCCGACCGGAGGTGCAGGCTTGCCGTCGGTCGGGGAGTGCTGGTAAAATGTGTCCGTCTGGTTGACCCGCAGCAGCGGCGGGATGCTGGAGGACCGGATGTGGAGGATCCTGGTGTCGGTAACTTCGCAGTCGATCTGCATCATCACCTCAAACTCGTTGTCTTTAATGATGCTCTCTGTGTCGGCGAGACAAGAACAGGATGCCAGTGAGCTCATGAGCAAGTGAACAAATAAAGGAGATCATTTACAGCTTCTTGAACACTTATTGGCACTCTGTTCAGAGACAATTTAAAAAAGTGTTAGAATAAAGAGAGGGTATGGTCGTGTGGGATTATTGCAATAGGATTATCCGATCAAGAAAAAAAATGGGGGAAATGCAAACTTTATTTGGGGTAAATTTACTGACAAAACACCTTTTTGCTATAAAACTATTGAATAAACTGAAATATGAGCTGTACAACAAAAATATTTATTCCTCTTAATCCGTTATTTAGGTTATTAAACCATCAGATTGGTGTAAAGTGCTACTATTCCCATTCGGTTGTCAAGTGTTTCAGGAACTCCTGATCATTTACGCAATTAAAAAAAAAAAAAAAAAACATGACTGTGGATGTTAGCATTGGGGACGTCTGAGCTAGCTGCAACATGTTTTGCATCAAGATTGTATTTTAGGCTTGAATAGCTTCGGTCACAGCCTAACTCTTTTTAGTACAACAGCCTTTTCCAGCATCCCATCAGATCGTTTTTTTGAAACCATTATTAACCCCCATTGGGTCATGAGAAGCAGCACACCAATGTTCTGGCCAGGTTTAAAAAAAAAAAAAAAAAAATCTATTACGTAAATTATTCAAAATGTATCCTGTCCAAATCAACACAGACCCACCCATGTTCACCCCTCTCTTGTAGAAAAGCTGCAGGATGTGCTACAAAGAACAGAGCGTGAAGATGGGTCAAAGTTTTCCATCTCTTGTTGTTCCAACCTTGTGGAATGTTATAGGAGAAGACTAATTAGAGCAGCACAAAGTGATAGCTTTAGCCTGCTTAGATGGAGCCTTGGTGAAGAATCTTTCCATTTAAGGTTGTTGTGTTTCTACCTTTTTTGCATAAGACTACGATTACAGTCTAATCTGATCTGAAAGCATATTCCAAAGCTTTCCCAGAGGTGAAAGTAAGCGATGTTGTAAGGATTGCTGACTGTGACAGCGGGGGGAAGGAAGCAACAAGCTGAGCTACAGATGGAGCCCAGAGGTGAGTCAGACACCGGATTTCGCCATCGCTGAGATAAACAAAACCTCACGAAACAACAGCGGAGCATGCAAATAGTAGAAGACAGAACAAGCAAAGGGAGCGCAGGAGGAGAACGCTAACGATGACTCAGGATCCCTGTAGCTGTGTTCAGCGAAGCAGAGGAAACCTGGGCAGAGACTCAAACACTGAAAGTAATTTATGTTCATGAGGGAGACTATTGTGTTTGAATAAAGCTCCCAACCACAGACTGTGTCTTGGATTGTTATCCTACATAAATACTGTACGTTCTCACAGTCGTTTCAACCTACACATAGGCAATTATTTACGTTTCCTTTGATAAATTCAGACATGGAATCAGAGCCGCGACTCAACATTGGTGGTTTGTGGCGCTCCCACTTCCAAACCTTACTCGACGTCGAGCAACAGAGCCTTTCACAAGAGTGAGGACTCTTGTGAAATGCCACATTGGTTTGATGTGGCCTTTACGTCAACAGCTTGAGAACTTGAAGCTCTGATCATCGGCTGGTGGAGAAAACGCTCCTCATCTGGAGCACGCCGCTCTCAGTTTTAGCGCATTTATAAGACCCAGAAGTGGTGCTGGGGTGTCTTTGAAATGCCTACGTGAAAGAAATGAAAGCTGCAGGCTGTTTTTCAGACACCTGCACAAGGCATGAGCTTCTCCTTCTCCAAAAGCTGGGCTTTCTGGGATGCAATAAGGCCGGCAGATCTCATCAAACTGGACCATATGATCGTTTCTGCTGCAGCTGCCGGATTTCATGGGCGAATAAGTCTTGGGCAGGCGAGTTTTTGATCTAGCTCGGTGTGACTTTATCTGCTGGCAAAACTTGATCTTGTGCACCTGCAGTCAAATTCGGATGCTCCGGATGGCCTCAGTGTTTGGAGAGACATCAAAGAAAATAATTTGTTTCTGCATTTCACCCTTTTTGAAACGCTACATTCACCAGACAAAAGCAGCTCTGTGTGAAGTGGACTTTGGAAATCCCAACAGATGCAGGCGAGTCTCAATAGCTCAGAATACCATGCAGATATTATATCAGTTTGTTTATTTCAAAAAGTGACAATATATAATCTCATTACACAAACTGATCCAATTCAAGCAGGTATTTTTCTTTACTTTTGTTTGTTCTGATGC